GCCGTTTGGACCTGTTACTCTGGGGGACAGGAGGTCACCGTGGAGCTGCTGTCTCGGGCCCAGTGGTTCGAGCAGCCATGAGCCTTTGAGGGAGCGAGCGCGCCTGGCTGGGCAGACCAGCAGCGGCTCTTGGATAAGCCCCAGGAAAGGCACCAGGCTCAGCTCTGCGAGGTCCGCTCACTGCTGCTCCCGCCTTCCTGTCTGACCCCTCGTTCGCGTTCTAGGACCTCGGGCGACTCAAGTCTGATCTCCGGGCCGGCAATTAGGGCAGCGCTGCGCTGTGGTTCTGCAGAATCCTGAGTGTGGGCCATCGGGCCTGGGGGCCCTGGACGGCAGAAGTAGAGTGCCCTTGAGCCAGGATGGCTACCGGGGATGAGGGTTGCATGCGGCTTTGCCGTCCAAGCATAGGGGCTCCCAGGTGTCCAAGTCAAAGGACCTGAGAAATGGGGTTGTGCCGCCCGGCTGTCCCTGGCTCCCCTGCCCTCAGGCCCCAGAGCGTCATGATACCCCAAGCAGCCTGGGCTACTATCTCCAGAAGGTGGGCCGAGCCGGGCCTGTCACTGAGCGCCCGGTCCACTGAGTGTCTGGTCGGGACTGTGGACTGCGGTGGCTGCGGCCGCCGCCAGGGGCAGGCGGCGCTAGGGATTCCTCCCAGCAGCTCACCAGGGTCCCTGCGAGGTACCGCTGCTCGGCGAGCGCGGGTGCGCGTGGCACCTAAGGAGGGCTGGGCCCCTGGTAGTTCCCGATTCAGCCCTGGCAGGGCCTTGGCTGCTCGCGTCCTAAAGAAGGCCTGCCCCTACATGCCCACCCTGTGCCAGCCTCAGGTTTGTGTGCCCCTCCAAGAAAGGGAGTCTTTGGGGGCAACCAGGGACGCGGTGGAGCCTCGAGAGGCTCATCCTTTGGCGCATCCACAAGGTCCTATGGGCGCCTCTCTCTGGACTTCGGGCGCCGGCTCTACCTGGAGGGGGAGCAAGCCTTGCTGCTGAGATTCTAGGGAAACAGAACACTCACCCCATTGCAGGCCACCCAATCTCGCCCTCTCTATTCGGATTCCACCCCTCAACCCAGAAAACCTTTTGGGAGTTCAAGGCGCACAGGGACCCGCGAAGTTCCAGGAAGAAACACGCCTGCGAAGCAGCTCACGAGGCCTTCACCCTGACACCAGGGCTCCAGGTGTTTCTGGCCCGGGCGTGGCGCAGCGAGCTGGGGATCCCCCCTCCTTTCTCGCTCACCTGGCCCGCGGGCAGCAGAGGGTCGGGGAATCAGCACCAGCTCGCGCTGGGCTGTGTTCTGGCTGCGCGAGAGCTTGGTCCTCCCCCAGACCCAGGTGCCTCCGCTTTGGAGCCCCGGCGCTCAGGACCGGCCTGGGCGGGCGCTGGCGCACGGCTAGCCATGTGCTCCCTGGTGCGTGACCTTCCCATCGACGCACACCAGCGCGTTCCACCACCCTACTGCCCGCACACACCCTGGTGCCATACCCCGCACATCCTCGCGCACTGGTCGCACCGGTTGGAGTCCCCTTCCAGCATCCCTAGGCAGGTTTGATGCTATCGAAACCGTTGCATCGGGATGAGGACCACACCCACAAAAGGGCCCAGTCGCCAAGCCCAAGTCCCTCGGTCCTTCTCCACCTGACATTCAACACAGAAACATGTTCATCTCTCCCATTGGTGGGATCAGGGAGGTGAAATTCCCAGCGCTCAGACTCTGGTGCCCGGACCGGCTGGTCCTTGCTCTTCCTGGGGCCCAAATGGTGTTTCCTATAAGGACAGGAGAAGCCGAGGACGGAGTAGCCCGGCGTCTCTCCCAGCTCTCCCTGACCCAGGGGTGGGCAAACTTTTTGACTCGAGGGCCACAATGGGTTCTTAAACTGGACCGGAGGGCCGGAACAAAAGCATGCATGGAGTGTTCGTGTGAACTAATATAAATTCAAAGTAAACATCATTACATAAAAGGGCACGGTCTTTTGTTTTCAATAGTTTTATTCATTTCAAACGGGCCGGATCCGGCCCGCGCCTGACCCTTTTAACCTTTGCAAGTGCGCCCTGCCATCACTTCCTGCGCCCAGCTGGACCCCAGGAGGTGCGCTTCAGGGGAGGGACACCAGGGTCCAGCCTGACCTGAGCCCGGGGAGAGCTGCCTAGCGGGGAGGGTCGTGGGGGGGTGGGGTGAGAGGGTAATTAAGAAGAAGCATAGCCAGCCCTGAGCTTCCCTCTGCGCTCTCACTAGCCCTTGGCTTCCAGCCCCCAAGCAGGTGAGGCGGCCAGCTGCCCTGGAGGGCTGGGTTCTACCTTCTCCATTCGGGTTCGCCTTCGAGGGCTGTGTGGGTATGGAACACGGGAACAAATGAAAGGCGGACGCGTTCACAGGAGCAGAAGAAGGAAACGCGGCTTCCAGCCACTGCGTCCCTTCGGGTTGGCCGCCCGCCGCCCGCCGCCGCCGCCGCCGCTGCTGCTGCTGCTGCTGCTGCTGCTGCTGCTGGAGAAAAACGCCTGGTTTCTGTGCTGCCACGGGGAGAGGGGGGCAAAAGGGAGGGGTGACAAGCCTCTGGGAACCCTGTTTGGTGGCCTCTCATGGGGAGCGGCTGCAGTCACCTGGCTCCATCTGAGCACAGGTTACCCGCTGGAGGACTGGCTTGTAGAGATCCCTGCCGTGGGCGAGTCGCTGCTTGGGTTTATCTTCAGAACTTCTGCCTAGTTTCCCCATTTACGTACATGTTTTCGGGCTTAGCTTTTCAAGGGGGAAGGCAAGAGGGAAGTGGCCACAAGCGGTGCGGGGTCTGTGCCTGAGGTCGCTTTACCGGATAAAGTGGGACCTCAGGCACCTCGCCTCCTACTGGCCAGTGAGCGCTTCGCGCAAACTCCCGAGATCCCACCGAGGCCTTGAGAGAGGGGGTCGGCCGAGGCAGGGTCCCTGACCTGCTGCCGCCTCGGGGTAGAGCTGTCTCTCTCCCTGGGACTCCCAGACTTGATGCTGAGCCCTGCCCATAAGCTCCCCTGCGAGGCCAGGCCCTGGTCCCGCAGGTGGCTGGGCTGGGCCTGGCTGCTCGCAGGGACACTGTTGTGAGTGTGAATTTGTGAGCTTCTGGGAGAAGCATGATGCATCTTGGTGTTTGTGTGTGTGAGCGTATGTATTTGGGAGGGGCTCATGTGTGAGTGTTTGTTTTGCCTGATGGCATGTTAGTGTGTCTGTGAAAATGGGTCATGGGTCTGTGTGTGTGTTGCTCAGTGTATGTGTGAATGTGAACATATCCGTGGGACAGTCCCTGTGTGGCCACTACGTGTGAGGGGGTGAGTGTTTTTGGTGCCATCCACAGTGCCTGGCAGGTAACAAGCTTTCAATGCTAGTGAATCAAACGATACATGTGTATGCTTGTGCCCTTGTGAAAGTAGCACGCAGCCTGTTGGCCTGTGTATCTGGAACACAGCGGGCAGGTAGAGTTGAAGCAGGCTCCAGGGGCTACTGTGCTTCCCCTTGCCAGCAGTAAGCCAGGTCTGTCAGCCATGCTCCCCGCACCCTGGGAGCCTCTCTATGCCCTCAGGCAGTAGCTGGCTCTTCATGCCAACCGGCAGCAGAAGTCAGGTCACCAGGCCCCGCAAGTACAGACCAGGTTCCCTGAGGCCCTGAGTGTCCCCTGCAAGCAGAGCCTCCAGGAGAGGCCGAGGGAGCTGCCAGGGCTGGAATTCCTCTTGGAGTGCCGGGGCGTGGGGGTACTTGGTGCGGCACCAGGGGGACGGGTCTTAAAGTCCTCTGGGCATTCATTCCCTTGACCTCCAGTCCTGCGCAGAGCGGAGGCATAGCCTCTGCGCCAAGGTGGCCCACCCAGTTGACTGCATCTCCGAGGGTCTTGACTGGGAAGGAATCTTTGATCCTCAGAAAGTCCCCATAAAAGCATTTTCAGTGAGCGCTGATTTACCAGAGAGGAAAGACCGGAGAAGTTCCCACTCTCAAAGATCACCCTGCGGGAAGAGTGCCTCATTCCATCCGCCCTTCCCTCCCCTCCCCACCTCTCCCCTCCCCTCCCCACCTCTCCCCTCCCCTCCCTCTTCTCCCCTCCCCTTCCCTCCCCTTCCCTTCCCTTCCCTTCCCTTCCCGTTGTCCAGGTGGCTAAAGTGGGACATGTTTGGTATTTACAGCAACTGCGACCTAAAAAAAGCATCAATTTCCTCTAGGAGGGACATCCCGCCCGCTTCGCCAGGACCGGCTAGACGCGTCGCTTTATAGGAGGGGAGGGGCTCGATCCCCCAGAGAGGAGGGATGGCTGCAGGTTAATTTACAGCCACAGAGGCACCTAGGGCACACAACGCTAGGAGGTGCTCCCCTAGCTGGCCAGCCAAGCCCAGGCGCCCTCTTGCTTCCATTTAGAACACTCGCTCGGCCGCCTGCCGCCTGCCGGGCCAGCCTCCCTGAGTCTCCTCTGACTTCTCTCCTCCCCACCCCTTCATCTCCACTCCAAGACGACCAGACCGATTCCTGAGCTTGGAGGCCTTTGCTCTCTGGCCACACAACACAAGACTCAGGCTTCAAGGCCGGAGGAGCGACTGCTCTTGGGGCCAGTGAATCTGCCCGGCGGGTCAGTGAATCTGCCCGGCGGGTCGGGTCTGGTTCTGGGGACTGCGATCATCACTAAGGAGCGCGCCCCTTCAGGAAACCTCCATGACCCGATTTGTTCCCCAGTCTTGGTATTTCCCAACACAGGTGCCCATGCTCCGCACACAGACTCCCATTTCCTCCCCGGAGGTAAAGAGGGCACTGCTTGGCCTGTGGGGGAAGAGGAGTCCCCAGGAGGAGTGGGCTGCCCCTCCCCCAGCTCTCATGGAGCTTTCTGGACCAGAAAAGGAACAGAGGGCTTTGGAGGAGGTTTCCGAGTTCTCGACTCATACGCGGTGTGCATGTGGAGAGGTGTCTCCGCTTTGGGACTCGTGGGGCATCCCTGCCCAGAATGGCCCACCGGAGTGTCCAGTCCCTGTAGGGAAATCAGACACTGTTGCACTCAGGGCTCACGGTCCTCGTGGTGTATATCCATATATATTTATCATTTCTAATTTTATTATAAAATAAAAGCAGAAATATTTCCTGAAGAACATTCACATGAGGGCGTAACAGGCAGACGGCAAGTCCGAGGCTCGGGAGGCAGGCTCTGGCGGGAGCACTGTGGTCACAGTCCAGGGGGAGGAGGAGAGTGCAGGGCTGGGGGCCTGCGGGGCCTTCTCGCCGCTGCCCTTTCTCTTTCACTGAAGTTACTAGGGCAAAGCTGACACCTGCAGCCCCAATGACCCCTCCGGGAGGGCCTCTGGAGATGGCCTGGATTCAAAGGCTGTCTTTCCTTTGCTTTCCCCCCTCCCACCCCCCAACCCCGGAAATCCAGGGGTGGCGGTGGGGGGTCAGAAGGCCAGGCAGGAGGGAAAAGACGGAGGGGTACAGACCCAGGGCCAGGATATGTGAGGCTGGGGGAGAGGAGAGACAATCAGAGAGAGACAGAGAAACAGAAACCTAGAGAAATGACAAGCCAGAAATATAAAGGGAAACAGAGACAGAGTAAATAAGGGGAGAGCAAGAAAGGGAGAAAGAAAGAAGGGGGAAGAAAGGGGAAGGAAGAGGAAGAAGGAGCAAGGGGAGCGAGAACAGACAAAGAGAAGCAGAGAGAAGGTAGGAGAGTATAAGAATGGTGTATAATTTATTCCCTTCCCTGGTTCAAGACCCGGTCCCAGGTCTCCAAAGCATCTCAAAACCAACTTGTTGGGGGGAAAAAAATTCCCAACCAAGGCCAAGCCAGAGGGCCATCCGCAACACCAACCGGCGGTTCTGCCCGCTCGCTTGCGGGCCTCAGTCCCCAGCGGGCCCCGGCGCCACATGCCCTCCCGATGCCGCCTCTCGGTCCCCGGAGGCCAGCGCATCGAGGCAGGTGGGGCCCTAGGAGCCCAGGTCCACGAGGTTGGCTGACATGGGGTTGAGAATGGAGTCCTGCAGGCCGTGGTGGTGCTGCAGCGGGTCCGTGCCGCCTCCGCCTGGCACGGGCACCGGCACGGGCACGGCGCTGGGGCCCGGAGGGTGGCCCAGGCTGTGCAGGGATGGCAGCCCGGGTGGTGGCGGCGGGCTGAGCAGCAGCGCGGGGCTGGACGACGAGTGGTCTGGGGTCCCCGACGGCGTCTTCTCGTCCTCGGAGCTGCCTAGCACCGACTTGCCGCTGCCATTCAGCGACGCCGCCAGCGGGTTGTGGCTGTTGGAGTTGGAGTTCTCGCTGTTCTCCCTGCAAGTGCAGGAGCAAGGTCGCAGGTCAGCGGGGACACAGAGGCGGCTCAGCGCGGTGACACCTGGAGCCCGAGCCTGCGTCCTCCAAGAAGCCAGAGCGCCCGGTGCTGCCTGCGGGTATTCGGTTTCTACCATCTTATTTTTGGCCCGGCCTGGGGCTCTTATTCCTTCTGCCAGTTCTCAATCTCTCAACACCGATTTCTCTCGACTGTCCTCCGGGTATCATCTCTATTGTCCCACCTCACGTGCTCTCAACCTCATGAAAATCATTCCTGCTCTCTGTATGTTGCTCCTCCCTGCCCCCCTCACTGACCTGCTGACATTTTTCCCCCAGAGCAGCAGGGTCTGGGGAGCATGGCTCCCTGGAGTTGGTCTGGCTTCTCACATCTTGGCTCCTCTATCCAGGGCTGGCTGGGTAGATGTAGGGCCGGGAGGGTGAGAGGCCCTAGATACTAGTCGCTTAAAGTTGGGGACCTCCGAGGCCCTCCTCTCCTTTTCCTTTCCTCTGCTAGAGGGAAATCCCTCAATGCGGGCAGGACCCTGGAGCTGAGTCCTTTCCCTCCAGCTCCAAACTGGCAGGCCTGGTGAGGGGTCTCCTGGCTGGGGCTAGAGACAAAGCCCTACAGATATAGGACCCCCTTTCCCTGGTGGCACAGTGAAAACTTTCCTCTGGGGGACTGGAAACTGGGGGCTTGGAGGGCAGCTCGTAGGAGAAGGGGGCAGGAGAATGAAGGCGCCTAGATCTTCCCGTCATACAGGAAAAGGAGGGACTCTGCGGCCCTCACCTGGGGCCTGGCCTGAGAACCAAGTTCCTCCGGAGTCTGGACGCATGCCAGTCTGGGTGGAAGGGGACCCTAGCAGCGAGAAACCACCTCCTTGCCTTTCCTTTGACTGGCAGCCCTGCCAGATTTGAAGATTTGAAATCTTGGGTAGATTTTCTTCACCGGCTTCCCAAAGCCCTTTCTTCCTGTTTTCGTGGAAGGGGACTTCCCACAGAGCTGATACCTTACAACTGTGGATACCTTAACCTCATGGTTTCAGAGACTAGGGTCCCCCTGAAGCAGCTCCCCCTGCTCCTCCAGAGATCTGGGTCCACCGTTCAGTACTCCCACCTAACCCTAATCATGCAAACTCTGGCTCACATACACTGGGTGCCACCAACCCCAGGTATCTTGTTTTGCTGTTGCCCTAAGGCTGGATTCTGCCCCCACAATCAGTTTCTCTCCCATCCCCGTGCCCAGATTTGGATTTCTGAGGGGCAACAGGGCTGGCAGCCACAAGGGCCTAGGTCAGTGTTAGGCTAGTTCAGGAAGTCTTGGTTTTCCTGAGGAAAAGCCACGCTCAGCCTTTCTGCTGCTCTCAGCTCACCCTAGACCTAGACCTACCCACCAGGGTGGGTAAAACCCAAGGAGAGAGGGGTCCAGGGCATGGCAGGCCAGAGAAGGGCTGCTGGGTCCAACAAGGTGGAAAAAGGGGCATATGTTTCTCTTCTCTCCCAGAGCTGACACTTACCAGCTCTTGGCCTCTCTGTCCTTTCTATGCGGGATAAAAGATTCTCGCTGTCAACTCATACCCAGACAAGGAAAATTCTTGCCCAGGCCCCTCCGCATTCAGGTCATTCCAGGGAAGTTCCAATCCCAGGCTAGAGGGCCTAGAACTGAGTAAGGCCCAAGGAAAGTGCGGACGTGCTAGAAGTGCTAGCGAATTCGCTTAGGCCTCCTGAAATCAGCAACCCCAACAGGCCAAACCCACTCAGCCCTTTGGAGGACTCTCAGGCGACCCAGGATCACGGTTTGGTCTTGCTTTTGCCTGGAAGCTCACTGCGTCTCCATTTTTGCCCACAAGCGACCCGGGCGTCAGTCAATAACTTCCCCAATGGCTTTGCCCGCTTTAGACAAATCCCTGCCCTCTGGGTCTCCCAAAAGATCTCAGCGCCACCCGGGTCAGGCCAGGATTCACTTGGGCCGTGGTGGCTTTGACTAGGGGCCCGGTGTAGGCCTCTCCTGGGAGTTGAGCCCACGCCATGGGACCCCCTCCCTGGAGCCCAAGGGGAGCTCTACTTACTCGTACCTTTCCTTGGCCTCGGCTGCCCGGTCACGCTGTCGCCGGTTCTTGAACCAGTTGCTGACCTGTGTGGTAGTGAGACCCGTGGCCTCCGCCAGCTCCCGCTTCTCCCGCGGGGAGGGGTAGGGGTTGTGCGCGTACCACTCGCGCAACACGCTGCGACTCTTTTCCTTGAAGCAGTAGCTGGTCTCCTCGCCGTCCCAGATGGAGCGCGGCAGCGGAAACTTGCGGCGCACGCGGTACTTGCCCACAGCACCCAGGGGCCGGCCGCGCAGCTTCTCGGCCTCGATGTAGTGCGCCTTGAGCCACAGCTGCTGCAGCTTGGCGTGGTTGTGCGGCGAGAACTGGTGGCTCTCCAGGATCTTGTAGAGCTCGCGGAAGTTGCCGCGGTGGAAGGCCACCACCGCCTTGGCCTTGAGCACGCTTTCATTCTTGTGAAGGTGCTCGCAGGCGGGCAGCGACCACAGAAAGCGGCCCAGCCGCTCGATGTTGCCGCCCTGCTGCAGCACCTCGCACACGCACGCCACTTGCTCCTGCGTGAAGCCGAAGGTGGGCAGCATGGACATGGTGCCGGCGGCGCCCCCGCCCGCCCGCGCGCGCCCTCACCGCGCTGCGCGGTCCGGCATGGGCGCCTCCCCGCCGGGCGGTCCGGGCCCAGAAGCGGGCGGGGCGGGCTCCCTGGACCGGCGCTGGCTCTCGGCGAACTCCGAGTCACGGCAGGACGTCCCCGCGCCGGCCGCGGCTCCCGCGCAGCGCTGCGGCCCCGTCGCCTGCCCGCCTCGCCTGCGCCCTGGTCCCAGCCCGGGGGCCGCCCGGGGCGCCGCTCGGCATGCTCCGCGTCCGCTCGCCTGTCGCTCCCTCGCTGGCTGCTCACTAGGTCTCCCTCCCGTCTAGCTCTCTCGCTTTTTTAATAATATTATTCTAAGCGGGCATGAGGCGCGGCGGCCCGCGCCCTGATTGGTCTGGTTATCTGACCCGGGGCCTGCCCGCGCCAGACAATAGTCGGAGTCAAATTATTCGCCATGGAGACGCTGTCAGTCACTGGTAACCCGAGCCCCGGCGGGCCGGGCGGCTCCCCCCGGCTGGCTCCGCTGACAGATCGCCGGGCTCCGCGCAAAGCGTAGGGCAGCTTGAGACAGGAGCCCGAGGCGCTCCAAGAGCCTGGGAGGCGGAGAAGGCCGGGCAGGGGCCCGCGGCGGCGGTGATTGACGGAGCGGACGCCCAAAGAGCAAGGGAGGAGACGGACCCGGGAGGGGGGCGGAGTGGAGACGCGCAGAGGAGAAAAGGGGAGGACGGGGTGGGGGGAGGGAAGAGGGGGAGAAGGAAAGGCGGAGGGCTGCTTAAGGGGGTGCCGGGAGGAAGGGAAGAGAGGCGTGGAGGAAGCCTGGGGGGTGGGGGGGACTTTGGGCAGCCTTTAGCGGGCTCCGCGGGATGCCCCCGCCCCACTCCGGGTCACCACGCCCCTCTTGGGGCCACTGCTTGCGGGGGTAGGTTCTGCCCGGAGCTGGCCAGTGGGATGGGGAAGTTTGGACTTGCGCGGACGCCCCTCTAGGATTTGGCTTTTCCTGCTGGCCGTGCCCTACCCCCATCCGCGGAACTCTGGACCGGAGCGATCCTCCAGGGAGAGAGGGAGGGGGTAGGGGAGAGGAGTGGAGGAGATTTGGCAGTGACCGCAGGCGGACGCCTGAGAATCTGCTCCTTGGAGGATCCCGCCTTTCCCCCCCTCTCCTAACCCTGTCTGCTGCCCCGCGGCCGGAACCGCCTCGGCCCCGCGCTCTCTGTCCTTGCCGGGCGGGGACTCAGACTTAACCCCACGGGTCCCACGGATCGAGCGGCCCGAGAAGCGCCAGCACTTCCGTGTGGCTTCTACGGAAGTTGACTCCGGTCGGCAGCGCCCGCAGTCTGCCCGCGGGCAGGCGAGGGCCCGGAGACTAGGACGGTGGGTCGTGGCACTTTGCGGAGGACCGAGTGGGAGGCAAGACCTCCCTCCCCCATCCCCCTACCCCACCCCGGGTCAACTTGGAATGGGCTCCCGCCACTTCCAGCTTGGGAGCCGGGTCGCTGAGCTCAGGAATTAGGGGCTTAAAAAGGGGGTCCTGTTTTTTGCTTCTTTGTCAGGACGGTGTGGAAACACATGTTACTGGTTCTCGGGGAGAAGGGCTGCTGATGCTATCTACGTTTAGAAAAGCCAGGGCCTGAGTTCCTTCCCCAACTAGCCCTTTCTACTTCGTTTCCCCTCTTGGCTATGAGCTGTTGCAGGCCTGAGCAGATCTGGCTCCTGATGTCAGGACCCAAGCCGACAGGCTCTGTCCTCAGCTTAAGACTGGAACCTGTGTATAGGCAACATTTCTTCATTCCCACCCCTGTAGCTTTCTTGGAAGTTTTGTGCTAGGAGCACTGGCATGGCAATTCAGAGCCCTGGGTTCAAGTTACGGCTTTGCTTGTTGCCTATGAGTAAGACTCCTATTCCTCTAAGTGTTCCTCCCGCCCCCCCTACCCCCCCAAGAGTTTCCTCCCTGCTCTAGTGTTCTAGAAGTCTTGGAGTGTGTGTGTGTGTGTGTGTGTGTGTGTGTGTGTGTGTGTGTGTTTTGCGGGGGGTGGGGGGTGGGGGTTGCATGCATGAAAGAATGGAACCCTGGGACTGTCCCTAAGACTTTTGTTCTGGGGGCTTGCCCTGGTGTGTTGAGACCACAGGGCTATCAAAGTATGTTCTGAGCCAGGGCCAGGGCCAGCTCCCTGCAGAAATCCTGGTGGCATCGTCAGAGTCTGTATCCGTGGACTGGGAGGAGCCCTGCTACATCCAGACCACTCTCACCAGAGTCCTACAGGCTGCGAAATAGGATTCGCTACAGACTTGGCTTTGGGGAAGAATTTACCCCTGGCTACCCTGAGTTTCAGAGCCCGCTTGACTGACCCTCCAGAAGGGGCACCTATGCTTTTCGAGACCTCTACTGTAGCCACATGATGAATGACTGCTAGGTTGGTTCCAGCTCTGCCATGGCCACTTTACATCCTGGCAATGTCAGGCCAGGGCTGTGGGAAGCACCCTGATGGTGCAGGTGAGTGGGGCTGGGCATCACTTCCTGGTGTGAAACCTTGGGCCAGTTTGTGATCAGCTCCACCTCATTCTCTCCCAGGATTAGATGAGGCCTGAGTGATCTTGCAGGGCCCTTGCTGGTTCTGGGTTGGGGTGAGTCTAAGAATACTCACCTTAGCAAAGCGGGTAATCTTTGCAACCTTAGCCATAGCTTCCACTGTGAATTTGCCCCTCCTTGGACCCCTGGAGTTTCAAGAGTAAACTTCCACTAGAACTGGGTCCTGCCCAGGTTCAGCTAAGGCTCATTTTCTGGAGCTTCAGACTCATCATCCCTTCCAGCATTGTCCTCTTGGCGGCCCCTGGGCGCTAAGCCCAAGAATCAGCCTAGCCAGAACAGAGGTGGGACCTGCCTCCATGGATAATGTAGTGTGCGCCGTATGAAAAGTCACTACAGAGCAAGCACAGAGAACCTGTAACCCCATTTGCCCAACGTATGGGTGTGTGTCCATATGCCCTAGTTCTCCCCTCCCCCATATTTGCAGGAAACCAACCGGTTCTAGCAGGTCTGGGCTAGAACATTTTGCCAGCAGCAGCAGCTGAGTGCCTGCTCACCTAAAAAGGTTACAAGCTCAGCTAGTGTTTCTTTGCTGGGAAGCCCCCTCCCTGACCGTCCTTCCCACAGGTCAGAGGACTTGGGAGGTGACGGGTGGGGATTTAACAGACGCCAGCCTGACCCTAAGGCAATCTCGGCCCCCAGTACCAGTGCTCAGAGCAGCTGCTGGAGAGGGTGCCAGGCGCCTTGGACTCACCCCACCCCAATCCATAGGATCGCAGACTCCTTCCTCCCCTACGGCATATGTGAGAGGCCTGCACTTACTATTTCTTCAGGCACAAATAGGAGAGGCTCCATGGCTGGGAAGGAAAAGGCTTTTGTAGACCTGTGGGACTCTGTGCTTCATTGAATTGGCTCCTTTCACCTCCTACATGGGCTGGAAGGCCCTGGGATCGCACTTTCCGGAAGGCGGCAGCAGGCGTGGAAGGATGGGTGTGCTCCAGTGAGCTCACACTGAGGGAATGCCTTTGCCCCATCACTCTGGGTCGGGGACATTCTAGCGACTGGGCCAGAAGCTCCCCAAGGCAAGGATGAAGGGCCCCCATGGACGGCACCCATTGCCCTGCTCAGGGCGGGCACATTGCCCACTTGAGGGACTTTTGGGGAGAAGGGGGCAAGCAGCCCGCACCAGCCTCCCAAGGGCTTCCTTGACTTTGGGTTGGGGCTATTTAGGAAAAAAGGGGATGATCTAAGTAGAAAGAGTTCCTTGGCGACTATTTCCAACGCCAGCAGAGAAGGGGGAGGGGCTCGGTGCCAAACCAGAGGACCAGAAGCTTTCTAAATAAAATCTTTATTTTTCCAGCCCATAAAAGCTGCAGAAATCCCCTAGGCAGACTCGGGCCCTGGCGCTGCGCGTCTCAGGCCCTCCCCGCAGATCCGCACTCGGGGCTCAAAGCTTTGGAGCGTTCCGAGGGTAGGGGCGGGCCGGCCGCCGTCCCAGAGCCGTCTCTTCCCGCCGGACCTCGCGCTCGGGCCTCGGAGGCGCGTTTCGTTGAAAGCGGGTAAGCAGCACAGGGCGGGTGTGCGCCCAGGCTCCCGGCGCCTCCCCGCTACCCCCGCTTGTCTCCCGTACCCACCGGCTTCGTCGCCGGTGGACGCAGCCGGGCGCTTGCAAACCCCGCACCCACGGTTTTGTGTTGCCCACCGTTTGGGGCCGGTCAGGGCGCGGGAATTCCACTCACACGAATACTGGCAGGGGCCCCGCGGCGCCCCGGGCTGGGCTAGAATGCGGGGCACTGGGCTCGGGGTGGCCGCCCTCCTGAACCGGCGCGAAGCACGGGATCGCCCGCGCCGCACGTGGCTGGCACGGCCACACGCCCTCAAGGGCCCGGGCAGCAGGGTCCCCGGTGGCCCCCGCTGTCCCTCTGCCTTTCGGGCCTTTTGCTTCGGACCTATGCGGCGGCCAGGAGGGTCCTCGCGGGAAAAACGGTTAGGAGGCCGCGGGCTCACGTGAGCCCTTGTTCCAACGAAAAGAGCGAGAACTAGGGCTCAGGGGCCCTTTGGAGGCGGCGCCAGGACTGAGCGTGGCTTGAGGCGTGTACCCAGGCCCAAGGCGCTGCCCGCCTTCCTGCGAGGCTCGGCCCGGCCCGCAGCCTTCCGTCCAGCCCGCGATCGCGGCTCAGACCCAGGGTCCCTGCCTCCCCGCGCCGCACCCCCTTCCGGGCGCGCGGGGGATGCCTGGCCCCTTTGCCTGCGGTGGGATGGGAGACGCGGGCGTGGCGGGTCGAGCGTCGGGTAGGGGGACAGACTCTGGGCTTTGGGTTAGAGAAGCCAAATTCTGTCAGTGTGAGTCCATTGGAGCGCCCCCAGCCACCCCGTGCCGTCTTCTAGAAAGTCTGCAGCCTTCCCCGCCTCCGCCCCACAACCCCCCTTGCGGGGCGGTAGAGAGCCCGTGCGTCCGGGACCTGCCTGCGGCCAGCTCTGCTCGCGCGCGCCCCCACGCGGCAGGTCGTAGAGTCCAGGTGGGTGGGTGGGTCCAGTTCTCTGCCCACCTCCCCAGGGTGACAGCTGGCTCCCTGATCACCCCCCCCCCCATCACTCCCCACACCGGCAGAGGGGGGCACCAGAGCTAAGGCGAGTCCATGAAGCGCACTCCCTCTGAGACAGACGCACAGAAGCCTGGAGGGCATCAGGTAGCCAGGGTCTGCTCACGCCATCCTTGGGAGACAGACACCGGCTTTTCACGCTCGCATGTCTCCTCTGGAGATTCTGGTTCTGCCCTGCACACACTGGGAGCCCACGAAATGTCTGAATGGACGCCTGAATGACGAATGGGATTTGCCGACAGCAACACCGGGAAGTACCAGGCCTACAGGAGAATGGCTCTCTTTCTTCTCAAGCATCCTGTTCTTCCCTCCCAGTCCCCTCTTGCCCTCCTCGTCTTTGTAGGGGAAGTCTCAGAGACCTGTGATGGCTTCCTCCAGCAAGAAGTCCTGGAGGCTGGAGCCTCCACAGGGCTACACAGAGCTACAGACCGAATGTGCTGCTCTTAGAAATTCCAGGTCTCACTGCCTATACACTACCAACCAGGTTCCCTGGGGGTGCAGGAAAGAAAGTCTTCTAAATAGAGTTATTCTAATTTTGTGGGGCTGCTGCT